CAAATCAATTTTTCTGTGAAAATATGCAATCAATTTAGTCGTGTTCATAGTTAATGAAGATTGGACTGAAAAGTCAGGAAGTACTGTGCTACTGATGTGGCTTGTTTGGGTCTCATCCGCGGTGCGCGAATCCACCGACCTGATTGTGAATCGAACCCAGACCTGATACATAGAACATCAATATTCTGCCCACTTAATAGTTGGGTAGCTGATTAGACCTCTTTTCATTTCGGAATGTTCCCGAACGAGTCATAACCCCGGGAGACTGGTGCACAGGGTGCTACCGTGTTTCGGAAAAGTGAAAAAAAAAACGGTCTGATCCGAAACCCGAAAGTCATGTGCATAGTACGTGTACGTTCTCGCAGTGAGATCCCGGGTTCGAACCCAAGTTGGATCGATGGATTCGCGTACTGCTGATCGGTGCAGCTATTCAATATAACGGAATGGAATTATGAGGTTACTCTATTAGACACCGGCGTAACGGAGTCAGATTCCTAACAATCAGGTATAATTCTGTTTTCCAACCACTAGTTGCACAGAACTGTGAGCACCGACGAGAATACGTGAGCGGGACTGGGGGATTTATTGGGTTCGAGAAACAGTGAACGGTTTTGTACCGTTGAGGTACCACTGGAAGGTCCCACCTCCACGTTGCTGGTTCCTTTTAATAAATGTTCAATTTAACTCCTCAACGTTCACTGTGGTTTGAGACATGATTGAGGATTGACAGCTGAAGTGTTTGGTGGTGTAAGAGTGTGCTATTGTGGATGTCGTCGAGTCGATGTAGCTCACTGTTGATAGCAAGTGATAAGAGTTACACCTTCTGAAGATGTTTGCATCTGTTTGCCCGTTTCGATGTTACTGTTGCAGATGAGGAGGCTAGATGCGGTCACAGCGGACGCACAGTTCTCGATAAGGGCAGCATATGTCACAGCAAAAGTTTAGATACTGTTTAGTTTAGATATAGAGTGGTAGATCGCACTAAAGTCTCTCTGGGAGACCATCAAACAAAGTTTCTGCAGATTCTCCGGGGTACACTGACGTTCCCTTTTTTGATGTCATAGCCTATCGTAAACTTTATTTGATTGAATTTACTTTACGCTTTTGGGGAAACTTTAACAAGGGTCTGGCCGGAAGACCCTAGAGGGGAGCGGGTGGATACGGAAAGAAGCCAAACAGGCCTTATTGCTAAAATATATGCCCCAAAGAAGCATTTAGCCCTATTGGAAAGCTCGCTTCGTCTGTCAAACAGAACAGTGTAGAAGCTGATGTCGACACGATTGAGGTGACCACAGACGATACATAGAGAGAAATCAAGGCAGCTCATTGAAATCACACAAGATCCATGGATGGGACAGATCTCACTGAAAAACTTGGGCTTAGTGCTCATGGTTATTGAGAAAATTAGTTTGTCTTTGCCACGACGAATGAAAATCCAAAACACAAGGCGTTGGTGACAACGTTAAAACTATGGAAAAAGTAGGTAGAAATATAACTATTGACTAAGATAATCGACCAACAACAACAGGTACGCAGATACCTAGGATGGCATTCATGCATGGAGGCACAAATGTGACCAGTGGAGTGAGCGAATGCCTGCTTCACATTCTTGCACCCATTGCTATTGATATAAGTCTCCAGGCCTCCTCCACACCGTTGATACATTGCGGGACGGTCAACTCGGTGTCTGAATGAAGCTGTCAATCTGAATAATTTCGTCATCAATGTCATCAATGAAACCAGTTATCTTATCATACGATTACGCCAAAATTAGAATATTCCCTACGGTGCACAAGGTCATATATGTCTGGTAATTGCTCCGGCAATGAACCGACGTTATTACTGATGACGACGGGTATACAGAGTTGAGACAAATTTCTTTGACGCGGTGCTACCCCTACATCCACCCCGATGTTTCTTCTAATCTCCCTAAGATTTTCTGCTGATCCTCTGGTATTTTTTTTTCGCTCACTGATTTTCCGAATTCAAATACCCCCGAGGGCAAATTAAATTTTTTTAATGTTTCTCATCAAGGCGTTCTGGAATTTAGCGGTCAGCGTCATCGTAATCGCACAATATCGTTATAGCAATGAAACAGAGCAGAGCAGATGGTGTTTAAAAACAAAAGAAATGTCAATAACTATGTAGCAACGATCGAATGGAAAACAACAGCGCGGCAAAACTGGGAAACTCCACACGATCGCAAAATAATGCGATGTGAACCGGAAATAGTTGTCGTTTCAAAGCTCGTAAGTCAACCGATTTGAAAAGAAGACGCGGGTTTGACTTGGTAAGAGGTAATATCCAATCGTTAACCTGAAATCGGGATCGCGACTGGTCTGACATATCAAATGGGGCCTGGTTTCTACCACACGAAATACCGGCCAGTGGGCTGATACCGAATACCGTTCAAACATATTCGTCCACTCTGTAAGACAGAGCAGCGTGCCAATTTCACAACTTGTTGACCCCGATCGCCTTACGAATGTGACTGAAAAATTGGGACATTTGTCGAGCCTTGAAATGGGACCGTCTAATCACGAGATGTTTTTGCTGTCTGTTTATTCGTCTCCTTGGTCTGCACTCTAACGCCGTTTGGGCAACAAGTTAGTTTCTACGAGTCATACTCTGAACACGTGATCCATCCTGAAGCATTCGAACAGGTGAGAAATAGAGTAGTAAATTTGAAATAATACATTCGATTGTTCACAAGCACCAGGTACTTTTGTTGGTCTCAAGTGTAGGCTCTACTTCTTTGAAGATAGTTAATTACTCGCTACTCTTATCTGCTTCAAAATCATTCACACAAGGTGATGACCGTCAACCGTGTAGTTCAGGGCTTAGGGTTTAAAGTCCCGACCCGAATTTTCGCGATTCGAGTCCTGACACACACACACACACATAAGTACGCGCACTGCTGACAAGCTCCAAGCACGGTGAGACAGCTGTTCACTTCTCACAAATATTTCCATCGCTAATAAATGTGATAAATAGCATTTAATGAAGCCCGTATCCAAAATGAGATGAAAATAAGGAGGTCCAGATTCCTTTTATCACTATCATACCGTCTTGTTTTCCCGATCAGTAATCACTATGCAAACCACACTGTGTTCTTATAAACCCACACCGCAAACAGTTATAATGTATATATTCTTGGTTGACGATAAAAGGTATTTTAAAAAAATCTGCATAACGATGAATAGACAAAAAGATCAATGCTATCTGTGTGGCCTCGTAGCTCAGCGAGTAGAGCGTGCGTTGGACAAAGGCGTAGACGACGTCCATGTGTGGGTTCGAATCCCGCCGAATCTGCTGAACGTTTCGCAGTCCGGACATAATAAAGAACTTGACCATTATCCGTTATTTTATTCACACAACACTAGCTTGCTTTCGAACACTACCCAGAAGTCTGTAAGCGCATGTGGACGACTAAGAAAGACCGTTTCCAACCATTGTGTGCAATTTTTCGAACACACAAAAATAACTCGAAATGAATCCTTATCCTATTCCATTCATCTCCGCTTCCATTACAGTATGCTTCATTGCTTGTACTGTGATGAACGATTCCAGGAACACGACAGTATTTATAAAATCGATGCTTTCTTCGCCTATCATCGTGATTGTTTGCGCTGTGCCGATTGTTCTCGACTATTACAAATCGGGGATGCATTCTTGCTAAACGGTACAGCCGCCTACTGTGTGACGCAACGAACTCCGTCCGGACAAAGTCGAAACGCGTCATGTTGGCTCCGGGTCACAACCACACCAGTGAGTCGGTCGTGTCGGGGTGACGGTATGCGACTAGCGGAAAAACACCCGGAGTTCGGAGGGACCGGAACAACCGATTCGGAGTCAACGCAATGTGCGATAAAATGTGATCTCTCCACGGCCACATTTCCCGATCACACTCGGTCCGAACCACCGGCGACGGAGGTCGAACAGAAGATACGACTGTCACAGTCCGCTACCGAACAGTCCGTTTGTGTGGATCCCGAAAGTCTAGACTCACCTGATACCGGTAAGCAAGTCGATTTTTATTTCACCGCGAGGCTTCAAATTTTACAATTTTAACACTGCAATTTTCGCGATTTGAGTTTATATCACAGTATTGTTGCATTGTTCTCCGAAGACCTCTACGTCGGGAAGTGGACAGACAGACACCGGAATTGCAAATCCGAGGTTGGGGTACAAGTATCTCTAATGAAAATGTGCAATGATATGCTTCTTTTTAGATCTCAGTACTTTTTCGTCAAATACATAACTACAGCGTCAATTTTCAGGATCCGAGAGCGAGAGCAAGAGAGACCTTCATTTGACCACCGCCGGCGAGATCAGTATCTTCAACCATCAAATTAGGCACCTGATGACATTCCAATAGACTGGTAAATTTGGAATAATCCATTCGATTGTTCACAGGCACCAAACCCCACTGTTGATAGTCTTTGGTGTGGGTTTTATTCGTTGGGAGGTCGTCAGTTCCCCACTAGCAGAATGCGTTTCTAGGCAATGGAAAGATTTGCAATGATGACCGACAGAGAGCGCATTGGGTAACTGTTTCATCCTGTTTGGGATGATCAACAGTACCTGGGCCTGTAATAAAACCGAACAGGTTCATTCAAACATTTACAGTCTAAATTAACTGAGCCATTTGCGCAACGTGGTGACCGTCGAATGTGTAGCTCAGGGGTAAGTGTTTGAAGTACCGACCTGATTGCTTGCGGTTCATTTCCCTGACACGGAGACAAAAACATAAATACGTGCACTGCTGACGAGTTCCAAGCAGGGTGAGATAAGTGTCCAGTTCTCTGTGTCAGTCATTAAAACTTTTTCCATCGCTTACGGACTCAAAGAGTTCGAAAAATTGGTCCTTGTCACGGAACATATGTCACATCTATAGTTTGTCCCGGGGGCACGAGACGAACGTCAAGAAGCGTTTGTGTGATCAATTGAATGTTTGCATCAGGTATTGATATCTATCAATCCGGTAGTGCGTGATGAAAACAAAACAAAAATCTGTGTGTAGAAGCCCCATTTTTGGGCGTTTAAATTTGAACGGATTGTGCTTAGTTCATGTCAAATGAAGTGAAATCTACACATGGGCAGCAAAGCTCCCTTTCTCTCCTCCTCAAAGATTGATTAAAACTGACTGTAGTGTTGCAAAGTATACCTATATTTGTTCAACCCCTTAAGGCGGATGGTTCCGGAAAGGAACTACTACGAGTCAGCGCTAGTAACCTGTATTATTGATTTCCCCGGCGATTGGAGTCGAAAATGGCATCACTCAATTATGTAACAGAATGAACCTGTCTGACTGACCTTAAGCAGTACTGTTCCCAGTCAATTTCGGACAGTATAGAGGAGCACGAAAATCTGCAAAGTCAAGATGATGGACTACCAAAACCATTATAATTTGGATGTGAAAATTACGAGATACCGAATTCTCCGTTTCGAGAAGGACTGTCGCTATAGACGACCGTCTAATTGGGGCGAACACTGAAATACTCCTGTCAAAATTGATTGGTTTATTTTGAGCGATTATGTTGCCAGACAAAATACAGTTGGGATTAGAACAGAACAGAACAGAACAGTCGTACCGGGGTATGAAACGGAACGGAAGAACCCGTTTCCTCTTTCACCCTGTCTCTATTGGTCAGCCTTCTTGCAGGATCTTAGTTTGATCCAAAAAGAAAACCTTGCGAATTCACGGACAAATGAGGTGAATTGGAGAACTACTTCAAACCTCATGAGTCTGAGAATGGATCTTTAGAGAAAAGATGTGATAGTGTCGGAAGAATACAGCCAGCCAGTCACTATTAGCATAAATTCAATGACACTAATGCAACCTATGAGTTCATGATCAGCTAATGTCTCTCCGAAAACCTCAGCAAAGTCGCGGGGGTGAGGTTCTCGGTTGATCTGGCTGATTACGCCTTTCTTGCAGCTCCGAGAAATGCTTCCCTTGCGAGGAAGTTCTTCCGACTCACTGTGTTCTCGTGCAGGCGGAGGTGTTTCCCCAGCAAATTGAGGAGAGGAAATGCCGAAATCCGGGTCGGCCAACCACTGGCAGTTCACCCAACGGTTTTGGCCTAAAAACTATGATTCCAAAATAAACAAAAAGAGGCCCTGTGAACCAAATACATCCACACCATCCCGGTTGTGGCAGTGGTTAGTGGCTTGATTGGGCATCAAGATGTTCGGTTCGGTTTGCACAACCATTAGCCATGCACATGCACACTATAGTGCGACGGTTTTGGTTGTTACCTTTCGGCTTCCCATTTGGATGAACATTAGAAGATAGAAACAGGAAAGGTTGAAAGTAGGATCGCAGAGAAAACTGAAAAGTTCAGTGGACTAATGTTGCAGAGAAATTGAGAAGCTGTACGAACGCCACTGTTTGCGACACTCAACCATATCAATCAGGGTGCGACCATCCCGAGGTCCCCATCCAGGAAGCCTAACGGGACCTGTGTAACCTAAACTCCCGGTTAGGGTTTTCATACCCTCGTGCCAGGTCTTGGCTTGATCACTCTGGACTTTCTTCGACCCACTACCTGCCTCGGCAAACATCACTCCCCGTGGCAGCTTATTTGGAGACATGTGTAACACATGCCCCAACCAACGTAATCTATGGAGGTCGACCACTTACTCCAGTGGGCGACCGCGCCTAAAACAAGTGGTCTGAAGGGCGTGTGATCGGATGAGCTGCACATCAACCCCTCCCCCCCCCCCNTTGATTGCGGTTTTCACACACCGCCCCTCAGCCTCGCTAGTCAGGCTTTGGATTGTCGAATGCTCGGATTGTGCAATGGCCAAAAAAAATTCACCTGCTTTGGCCGGGGCAAACTAATAGTATGGTGCCCTCGAGCACATCAGACATTTTTATTTTTTATGTTAACATTAATGTCCCGTAATCAGTTTTTGGCACACAGTCTGAATTCAGACGCATGTAAAATACAATATAATCTCGAACAGGTACCACGATGCGTGATATAGAACTCGGATGAGTGACGTTCTGTCCGCAGGCGTGTTCAACGCTGTCGTATATTCTTTTTCTTTGAGATGTGATGTGTTATCGTCTCGGACATAAATCGTGCACTATTACCATACGGTCTTTTCTCTCTGGGAAAAAAAGTTGGAACTAGGCGGTTTTCATTGTAGCTGTTCCGGACCGGATCGGATTTCAACAGACCCTAATCGGTTTCGATATTTGACCATAATTGGTTGTTTGTCAACGGGGTGAGTGAAAAGTAACGAGGAATTTTTATTGAAGCCATCATACTGATGCATCCTGGTCTGCATCCAGGTACTCTCTCTCTCTCCAGTGTATGCATAGACTTCACTTCCTCCAGGTCAACACACACACACACACACACACGTGTGTCTTTAAAAAACTGTGAAACAATAGACAGGCAAGCACACTCACATACCTGATATCACATGTTTATTCATCTGTATGTGAAAGGGCATTTGGTTCTTATTGCCATTGAAAAGCGCCGAGTTAGTCAAGGTATTCGACAGGTATTTCCGTTCAACTGGCAAGTGGGACACAAGCGATTAATTTTGCTCTCCTCGGTCGATTACGTAAGACAACAAACACATCAATTCGTGGACAAAATGGTGAAAATCGGTTCGCATAGTGCTCGGGTGAACTGAATTCCCTGTTCGCCCCCCAGGAATGTGCTTCCAAACGTTTTATCGTCAATAGCCGAAGTGATATAGTCAGTGCTTGTGAAGTGGCCCTGTTCTGCTTGTACCCGGTCGATTGCATATATATGTTCTCCACCGACTATTTTTGTCCCTTGTTCTCGCTGTATTCCACTCGGTTCGCCATTGAACTGTTGTGCGCTACGGTTCGGGATGGTTTGTTCCTCCATCCGGATTGTGATTTTGATTTGTTCCCAGGTCACGGTGTGATCTGTTTTATTATATCATTTGATCCTTGAGTTGCATTGGTGTGTACACGTAATCCAGTTCGATGTGCTTGCCTGTCTATGGAGTTGATTGAACAGTGAAAAGTGGATAATTTTCACTGATTCGAAATCGAACTGATGTCGTTCTTGATCTTCCTGGAGAGAAATCAATGCGAATGGGTCATGTCTCCTGGCTGCCGATCAGTGTTCACGAATCCTTGTTGATAGTTTTCTCCCGGTTTGTTCGATATATAATGTTTTGGGCAGTTTATTTGGTACATAATATTTGCAAATAAATTGCAAATTGCTCGGCGTACAGGTGAAACGGAACATCAATTCGTACGCACAATTGTTAACAGAGAGCTGAGAGCTGAAGTTGAGCGTACACAGTTTATTAAATACGTCCGTACAGCAGTCAGTACAGTGCGGTTAATAATTTTTTTCCCTTATGAGATGTGATTTCTGTGTTGCGATTTGCGATTGGTTACACAGAATGCTTACAATATTGCATTGGGATTACGCAACACGACCCTGAACAATTTGGTTACTGTTTGCCCGGTTCTCGGCAGGCGATCGGTATCGTCTGTATCATAGATATCATCAACGTCTTCGGTGTGTGTTTGTTCCGCTCGTCGAGTCAGACACCGATCGGTTACACCTGTACAGCTACAAACTCAGCCAAAACGGAGCTTGTAGATTGGGTGAGGCATGCAGATCAGACGGGGCTTTTGGGACGGCCCTGAAAACTCAAGCCGTTGATGATCTGCATCATGTCCAAATGGCGAATTTTCAATTCCAACTCATTTGACCAAATAGAAGTTGTTCACTTTTCAAGTGAAGGTTTCTTTTCGACCCCTCAATCTCTTCCTTCTCCTCTGCCTCCAAATATTTCCTACTACAGTCACATATCTTATTTATTAGACTGTACACTTACACTCCATTGTTTGTTTTCATGGTTCAACCCGGGGGAATCAGGACAGATACTTAGATTTCGTAATTTCTGTTTCTCTCTGTGTGCTCACTTCGAACCACTAGAGTTATAATTCCACAAAGCGGTGCCTGGATGAGAATAGTTGTTTATTATGAGTATCGGTAAATTGGTATTCAC